CCACGGCCCCGCCCACGGCACCTGTGAGCCCCGCCCAGTGTCCGGGCTGCCGGCCGGGGTCTCCTACCGCCGGTCCTGGGACGCTCCTGGCTCGCGGCCCCGCCTCCCGCCTTTCCGACTGCCCAATCCTGGGACGCGCCCAGCCTCTCGACCCGCCTCCTGACGCTTGGCCCCTCCCGTTAGATTTCTGGCTGCCCAATCCTAGTACAGACCCCACCTCCAAGCGTTCTAACTGCCCAGTCCCCGGAGGGGCGGCCCCGCCTCCTGAGGCCTTAATGCCCCTTCTTCCCTGCTGGTCCTTGGGATCTCACAAGCCTCATTCTCTAAAACCTTAGGTTGTAGTCTGAGACTGTGACTGGACACCCTGGGGGTGTCCCTGTCCCGTATAAGGTTCTGGCACTCCATCTGAGACTGTGTGTGGCCTCATTCCCACAACCTTCCACCCCAGATATGGCAAGACTCCTCACGATCCAGATCTCATTCTCTAAACGTCTTGGCTCCTGGGGAGCACCTTAACCCATAGAGACTCAGGTGAAGAGGAAGCCCCAAGTTAGCGGCTCAGGTAGAGGGCAGAGGTCTTTGCGGAATCTCCATCTTGAGAAGGAGCGGTGTGGATGGAATTTTTCCCTTCCTGCTTTATAGGTCGGTGTGACGACTAAATGAGTTAAAATACAACAAAAGGCTTAGAACATGGTTGGCACATAGTGAGCACCTCAAGTATTAGTCGTTATAATGATACTTGTTCCCTGTCACAAGCAGTGCCGCGACAGAATCCTTGCAGTGCCCTGGTTTTTGTTTGCATACATTGGCATGTTTCCCTAGGGGAAGATTCTGATGGCCAAGAATCCACCAGATCCTTCTGAATTGCATCCACGCCCTCCCTGGGTGGCAGACTGGTTTATATGCCCAAGAGTGGAGCAGGAAATGCTGGGCATTTCAAAAACTCAAGCTCATGTTGTATTATTGGAGTTTCTGATTCAGTTAGTCTGAGCGGGGTTGCAGACCTTGTATTTTTTTCTGCAAAGCTTCCAGGGAGACATGTGCAGGTGGAGCTGGGGACCACTGGCCAGAGGGAGCCCTTGAAGGTCCCTAAGCTGAAAGTGCTATTTGCAGTAGCTTGGTTTGTGTAAGTCACGCAGGACTGGGGCCTGGACACTGAGACAGCCCAGGCAGTGCATGACAAAGACCGGGCCCTGGGACACGTGGGTAGTCGAGAAGATACAATAACCTGAGTGAGGGGTGTCCTGTGGGGAATGGACATGGCCAGAGATAGGGGGCCCGTCACTTTGTCTGCTCACTTATTTGTAACTGCCTTCTACCTGGAAGGATTTCGGTTCAAGACTCTGTAAACATGGACCAGAAGGCAGAAATGAGAACTGGGATGAAAAGAGAAAGGAAAAAGAGGGATACAGGGGGGCCAGGATCAGTGCTATTGGATTGAGGCCTAAGTCACAGGGGACACGACAGAGGGCACTTTTGTGGCATGTTAAGTTAAAAGCCTGACCAGAGTTCGAAAGACATGAAGAAGTGGGAATGGAGAAGAGGCGATGAATTTGCCTCAGAGCTTCCTAGCGACCAGTGGGAAAAGGGAAACAATGGTCAGTCGTGGAGTCGCTGGTGTCATTCGTTTAAGGGCTGTTTATTCAGTATCTACTATGTGCCAGACACTTGCAGAGGTGCGGAGGGTGCAGAAAGGAACAACACAAAAAAAATCACTGCCTGATGGAACTGCCAGTTAAAAAATTTTTTTAATGTTTATTTGAGAGAGAGAGAGAGAGAGA